GGTGGGGTGAGGTGGGGCGGGGCGGGGGCCGGCGGTGATGAGTTGAGCAACGCGAGCAGCCGACGCGCACAGTCGCACACATGAGCTGAGTAGGTTGCAGAGCCGCGCCTCACGGGAGGTGCAGAAAGAGAGAGAAAAGAGAGGCCCAATACTGTGGTTGTGCAAGAAAAGGGATTCGGTTACCATGAAAACTATCTACACTAATGGCAGAAAAAATTGACAGGGTCATGCTGGTCACCTAGACTTCAAGTCTGCCTACGAACTTCTGCCTTCTGCCTTGCCGTCCGTCCAGCCTTAGCAAGTGGGCATCAGCAGGAGGGCGAGCAGTGAGCGAGAAGCAGACAGAGAAAGGTAGTCGAACTGACGGCCATCGAACAGACACCAGACGCTCTCACTCTTGAGCCTTTCAACCCATAACGCTTCCACGCCCGAACCGAGGCTGCTGCACCACGACTGCATGCCACACACTCACACCACGGCGGAGTGCATTCTGCAGCCCCACCTGCTTGTGGCCATTGTCGGGGCCATCAAGTGCGACCAACGGGAGGGAGACAGACGGGGCTTGCTGACACTGCACAGCTCGGGGCACTCACTCGCCCACCGGGCAGAGAGAGAGAGAGAGAGAGAGAGAGAGAGAGAGAGAGAGAGAGAGAGAGGGGTGCGAGTACGTGGGGAGAGGGGGCGCGGTTGGGCGGGGCGGGACGGGTCGGGGCGGTGTGGGGCGTAAACCGAGGCGTAAACGCTGGGCCGGTGTGTGTGGCGCCGTGCCCGCCGCTGCGTGGACTGCAGCGAGGACCAGAGAACCATGAGAGAAACACGGTGAAGGCTCCGTGCGTTTCCATGGGTGTTCTACTTCGCTAATCTCGAAACAGTTTTCGTTCTTCCGCCCATTGGATACACGACAAAAACGTTGACGTTTTATCCAGGCGCGGTTTATGGAGGGGGGGGGGGCGAAGCCCCCCGTCGCCCCCGTAGGCAATTTGTCCTACGAAACCCCTGAAAGTAGGCAACCCACAGCAAATCGCCCCTTCCGTCAGACGGACTTGAAGCCGCTTCTGGTTTTATCCACGCTGTGTACTTCGGCCTCACCCCTGCACGGCACATAGGAAGGAACGAGGAGCGGGCTCGGTCCAGCCTCTTCCTGCGGAGGACACGGCGAGGAGGGAGGGGGGGGGATCCTCTCCTGGAGCGGGTGACGGGGAGCCAATTAGCACGCCTTGGCGCCGGGGGGTCCTTGTCCAGCGGCCGGACTCCGGCTGGCTCGGCCGCACCCCGGGGCGCTCGGCGAGAGCCGATCCATATACTTATAAATAACGGGGCGAGCGCAAGGAAAACGGGATGGAACTGCCAGCGCAGCGCGACACGCGGGGACGGCGACGACGGCGTCCGACAGGTCGCGGAGGAGTAGTGCGAGTAGGAGTCATGGGCATGGCCTGACGGCGTGGCGAATGACGACTGCGTCCGCCGCGGCCGCCTGACGACGCCCGGAATTCGCCGAAATGAAAGCGCGCGATTTGACGTCCTGATCGGGCGCGCGGGGCGTCGTCGGCGACCATACGTCCGCTCTCAACACGTGAGCCGCGGGCCGGCCAGGGCGTGCGCCAGTCGTGGTGCCGCCGGGACTATCACAGGTACTCGATCATATCTACGCAGGAGGAGAGTGCTGTGTGGGTGCGGTGTCAGCAGGTGGAGGCGTGTCCGGCCCGGCCGGGTGTTGAGGAAGGCTCTTGGCGACGCGCTGGCGCTGGCGCTCCGCTCCCTGTGATAGGCGACCTCGGGCCGGCCGGGCCGTCGCGTTGCTAATTTCTGCTTTTATCTGGGAGCCAACATTTGGCTTGGAGATTATTCTAGAGATAAGGGTTCAACCTGGTCCCGAGTGGAGTCGAGAGGCCCCTTGTGAGCTCTTGAGAGACGTAGCCGTCGAGGTCAGCAGCTGGAGGGCAGGGGAGGGCGGTCGGGTCGGTCGGCCGACCGACCGGACCCAACCGGACCGGGCTCTCTGCGTCTGTTTCGGGACAGTTGGTGCTGCTCGGTATCTCAATTCCTCGTTTTTCATGTCGCATTGTACCGCTATGAGCGTTTGGTTTTCCGCCCCGCCGCGTTTCTCAACATGTGACTCGGGCGACGATTACCTCCCCTGAAGATGCCCAGGCCGCCACGCTTAATGCCACCACCCGTTCTGGTTCCGTCCGCCTACCACTGTACTGTCCATCTCGGTGCGCCGAAATGCTGACGACCGAGGTTGAGCCCCTCCACCTCACCTGCACGGCGTGGGCACGTGTTCGATCGGGTTGTCATGGGCTTTATCTAGGCTGTACTTTACAGAAGGCCCTTGCTGATCGAAGAGGGGATGGGTGTCCCATTGTCCGAGGCGACCTTCATCATAGGGTTAATGATGTTGTTTTGTCAAAGGAATCTCATGCATTACCTGTGAGTTTTTCGATGCTGTATTAAATTAAAGCAAGAAATGATCACGTAAGAATTTCAAGAACACGTGAGTGGACAGTACTGCAGGAGCGATACAAGGGATGAGGCGATCGCCCCCCCCCCCTCTCCCTCAGCTCTAGTGAACCGCCTGAAAGATAGGCAATTTGTGCCACAAAACTTCTGTAAGTAGGTAACCCTCGGTGTCCCACCCCCCTGTCAGACAGACCCAACACTGCGCCTGTAGTACAGCACTGCGTGCACACACGCACCCACCGCGGGTTACCGCATTATGTCCCACAAGGCGACGTGGCCCTCACTGTGGGCCTCAATGTATGGCGCTCCCGAAAGCCTTCGGCTCCTGGGACATCCTTTTTTTAGCAGACAATACCTTAGTAAGACTAAACATAACTATACATTATTTTTTGCCGCCGCACACAACGTGATAACGAACTGTATGCAGTTGATTAAATATTAACATACGTATTTTGCCTCACCACTTTTATTATTTTTTACTCCGACATTCTAGACGTCTGCAAGAATAAACCTTTCCATACTAAGAATGTTTTGAAAACCGGTTGACGAATTCACTTCAATTTTGGTTGTGGACGTCTGTGCATGCCTAATGAGCCTCATACCTATGCAAACGCTGGGAATGCTGCCAGGAAATCGAGCCGAGCTGAAGGAAAGCAGTCATCTCAATGAAAAACGCTACACAGCTTTGTTAGCAGAGAAAGAGCTTGCTAAGATGTGAGTGCCACAGGACCGGGGAAATTTAATTTTTTTGGCGAATGCGACGTAGTTTGTTTTGTGAGGGACGACAAAGAGATTTGGTCGCGCTGACGCAGAACGAGTGCGCGGCCTCATTCCACTCCAGGACGATGTGCCTTCTCCAGGTGAGCTCCAACAAGACAGAAAAAAATACACGATTTGAGACACGCGCGCTGCATTCGCCGAAGTGGCTGCCGGGCACGTGCGCGAGGTGGGGACGTAAGTCAGCGTCGGGACGAGTGAAGATGCGAGGCTCTAGAGCCATGTCCAGATCGGAGGCAGCGACGACACGTATGTGTCCAGACATGAGTGAGCGATTCGCAAAATCTGCAATCCCAATGGCCTTTAATAGAATCGCCTTCTGCTCGGGGAAGCCGCGGTTCAAACAGACTGGGGCCCGGCCCGTTTCCTGAGTAACGACAATGGCGCGGTGCGAACGCGGCGGGCACGGCGTGCACCGGCGGCCGCCCTCCACCCTCCGCGCCCCGCGCTATGGACCGGCGCGCGGGAGGAGTGTCCTTCCTGCACGCCTCGCCCTGGTACCAGGCGCAGCAGCATCCCGACCGCCATGGCCACGGCGGGTGGCGAGCAGGGGGCGGCGGGCGAGCGCCCTGTGGCGGCGGCGGCGGCGACCTGGACCGGCAGGTGGTGGCGCAGAACCTGCTGGTGATCCTGCATGAGGTGGAGAGCCGCCTCCAGGACGAGATGGTGGCCGTGGAAGGCTTCTCCAGCAAGCTGCACGCTGCGCTCCCACCCGTCAGTTCTAGCGGTGCCAGCCCCAGCACCGGCGGCGGTGGCGCCAAAAGGACGGGCAGGTACACGGTCATTTTGAGATGTGTGACCTGGAGCACGTGTACTACTAGTTGAAAAACGTTGAAAATATTTCTGATAGGACATGCAGTGAGTTTGGTCTAATACGCTATCAACATCAATTTTCATTGTGTGAGTCGGAGCAGTCGAAACACGTTTTTTGCGCATTTACTTGGTGGCAGCGAAAGCCAGACGGCAGACGCGCCATCGCCATACACCGCCCGTCAACCAGTACCAACCAGTCATGCTCTCGGCACACGTTAAGGCGATGATCGACCGCCAGTAGTGGGTTATCTCGTCTAGGACTAATCGGACGTCTGGCGACGATAAGGATCCGTGCCACGCAAAGTAGGCGTTCGCATAGGGCCAGCCGTTTGAACATGAACAGGCCACCCCGCTAAAAATATTCGAGAGTGCGTCAGAGTGCGTCCGAAAGATCTCGCAACGCTCACCACAGCCTTGTCATACGAGCGAGATAAGGAAAGCATTGAGGGCGCCTGGGCCATAGAGCGGCGTAAACCCAACTACACTTTAATTGTAACACAATTCAGGGCCATAAACCCGATCGAAAGTGGTTTGCTGAAGGTTCGACGACGACGTACCGGCAAGACACGTGCAAAACACCAGATACGGCCGCTTTGCGTCAGTAGTCTCTATGTTTTTTTTTATCATCGGAATTTGTGAATTGCTCCAAGTGAGGCATCTTTCCTTTTTGTCCCCCTAATTTGAAAACAACGTCTTCTTACACTGTCGAATGTTACACCGTTTCCCACTTCCCCTCCCCCTCTTTTCTTATGACGATTTCGGCCGACTTCTTGCGAGCTGCTTGCTGCGCGGCGCCAAAATTTAAATCGCAGCCCGCCGCCCATTCACCTTTCACCCGGGTCTAGTGAGCGAGAAGTGCGGGGCGACGTCAGCAGCGGGGATGTTTTTCGCGAGCGGGGACTGACGTGAACGCCTCGAGCCACGACCAATTGTGATTGTGTTCTCGATCCGCGCTGTAAAATATGATGTAGCCACTTAACACGTTCTTTGCGGCATGACCATTATGTGGTAAATCATTCGCACCACAAATGAACCGCAAGGAAGGTGTTTAAAAAAATGAGAGACAGTAGGAAATGAGACTTTCTGTAAATATCCGACAGAAACATTTAATTTCCTGACATTAACAAGAACGCAAACTTTTTTCAAATTTGAATGCCAATATCGCGACTTAAAAGTTTACAGCGAATGCAGTTTCCAATGAGTCGACTCTGCGTTACTGCAGGTACATCTGGAGCACCACCGCGTCCCCCGGGCGGCAGCAGCAGGGCCTCCAGGGCGCTGGCCCCGGCGGCCCGGAGGCCGTCGGCCCGTCGCGCCCGGGGCGACACCTGGCCCCCTGCGGCCCGTGCGGCCCGTGCGGGGACTGGTACACCGGCGGCAGCCTCTGCAGCAGCGGCAGCCCCGCCGGGCTCGCCCCCGGGCCCGCGCCCGCCGCGCACAAGCTGACCGCCAGGGCGGCCAAGGCCCCGGCAAGTGTGGCATGCACCTTGCACAACCAGTAGTTACAGGGAGGGTTCCGGGAGCGGGAGTCTTGTAGTAGACACTGCGGACTGGTATTACCTCAGCGAAGCATTTTTTTTTCATACCCAATCACTATTAGAACAGACGATATCGCGCGCAACGTCTCGGCGACTGAAAGTATGCGTGGCCTGGTTGTGGCGCAGGCGATTTCTCGGAAAGCAACTAGAAGACGCCGCACTCATTTCATTGTGCGTCAGGACACACGATGTGAAAATGGGATTACCGCAGAATGTGGTCTTATCAGCGCCGAGTGGGTGTATGGGTGAATCACCCCATCCGCCTCCTGAGGGATCGGCGATAAAGTACGTCCACCACTCGCCAATTTTTATTTTTTTTTGCAAAGTTCAGCATCTCTCGGCCAACTCGAATAGCGCCTTGTAGGTAGGCAACATCTCGTCCTGCGGTGCATGCCTGTACTGCGGTGTGGCCTATCCGGAGGCTTGCAGGCGCTGAGCTCCAGTAGTTTGCCGAATGAATCTGAGAAACACGGACGCACTTTCTGGACAGTCACTTGAGGGTTAGGCGGGGGTATTAGGGGAAAGGGGGAGGGACTCCTGACGACTCGGCCGCGCTTGGGGTTCATCATGATGGCGGTGTGTTAGCTGCAGTCCCAGCTACCTGGCGGCTGAAGTGCAGTCCTCCCAACATAGAGCGCCTCGATGTGTCTCGCAACATTCGCACTCGGTCGCCAATGCGCTGTGACTCAATGGGCGGTGCAACGCCACGCCAGACTTCCCCCGCCCCCTTTCCCCCTACCCCCCTCTATCTGTCTTTGCGAAGGAGGAGGAACGCCCGGCGATATTAAACTTCACGATCAATGCCAGCTAAAGGCTGAAAGTCCTGGAAAGTTCCCGGAAATTTCCAATCCTAATGCGAGCGGCACAACAAAGCGGGCACAGAAACGTATTTGAGATTTCACTTTGACAGGTAGTGAATACATGCTACTTGCGAGAGCAGCAAAAAGTAACTCGAGTTTTAACGAGCCACACCATCCCCCCCCCCCCAACACGTAGAACCTAGATCCTTTTTTCCTCTGGTGCGTTTTTACCTCGATTTTTCCGGTTGTGTTTGTCTTGACAGCGTCGCTTTCGTGTACCGTCAATATTCAGGGTCTCCGTCGCACCCAAAATCTCTTTCAATATTTACGTGAAAGGTGAATCTGTTTCTGGTCCGGTGACTGTGGTGGGCGACCAGCTCCAACCTACGCCTACCGTCTTCAACTTTTGCGCCTCAGCGCATAGGCCACCCACCCGCACACCTCTGCTTAGTGTAGCCAAATGACACGTGATTTGTATTTGCCATAGGTTGTGGAGACGCCTTGGGCCCGCCCTCTGGGGCCATCGTGGTTGTCGGCCGGTGGATCATCGTACAAGTACTTCTCGCGCCGCCTGGACAGGCCTCTGGACAGGCCTCTGGACAGGCCGCTGGATAGGCCATGCTGGCTGTCCGCGGCCTGTCTGCCGCCCGCCCACCCCCTCGGCGGCGCCCCCCTCGGTCCCGGCCGCGAGCCCAGCTGGCTGCCGTGCCTCGAGGCCTCGACGAGGGGGGTTGGCCTGCCCACCGCCTGGGGGGAGTACGGCGGAGGCCCCAGCGACAGGTGATGACACATCCGACTACCGTAGAAAAAGCTTACCTGGATTTTGTAGTTTTACTATGCTGCATAGTCACGCGTGTGGGCGGATTGCCTACTAGCAACTCGAGCCAGAAGGACCCCGCCATGCAGTACAGTACAACTACGAGATCCCATAGTGTTTTTTTCAGCCACCGCGGGCGTGCAATTTCAGTAGAAGAAACGTGACTGTATAATTTTTGAAGAGTTTAAGTGTTGATGTCGAACTTGTAGATCAGCCGTGAGCTCGTACGGCCTGTGCCCGAGCAGGACACCTCGGAGGCTGGGGGCAGCCTGCCTCTCGGCCTGCCCGGAGCTGAAGCGGGCGCGGGCGGCGCTGGCCTCCCAGCCCGAAAGGGAGTACTCGCAGGTGAGCCGCCAGAACGCCTCGCACCCTCTTTGCATCCCCACCCCCTCCGTCCCCCTCTCACCCTCTCACCACCCCACCCACCCCCTCCTGCACAAAGGTGGCGCCGTGCGAGCTGCAGGAGGTGTTCAAGAACGAGCGCATCATTGACGTGAGCAGCCCCTCGGAGCCGGACTCTCTGCTGGAGGCGCTCTCGGTGTCCGGGCCGCTGGAGCCCGAGCTGCCGCGGGGCCCGGCCACCTCACCGGCCGGCACGCCGCCGCCGCCACCGCTCCAGGCGCAGCCCAAGAAGTCATACGGGGAGGTGTGCCAGGTCAGCGATGGGGTGTCCCCCGGTGTCCCACGGGCTGGATCCGGTCGGTATCCGGGATGACCAGTACGTCGTGCACAGGAGGGCGGCGCGGCGTGGCTGGTGGACGCGGTGCACCTGCTGAAGCAGTACTACCTGAAGCGCGCCCAGCTCTGCCTGCAGACCAACATCGCCGCCTCCCACCACCAGCTCAACGTCCCCGAGCGGGACGTGTGCCGGAGGGACGTCGGCGTCGGGGACGCCGTCGTCACCACGGCCGAGAGGTAGGCATCGGCGAGGCCGCGAGGAGGCTGGCCTCCCCCCCCCCCCTACACCCGCCGCGGCACCTCACTGCGCCGTGGTCCGCAGGTGCGTGGGCACGCCCCAAGCCCCCGGGCGGGTGGACGCGGCCACGTCGCCGAGGCCGGCGGCCGGGACCGCGTCGCGCTCCCTGTCCACGCAGACGGCCCCGGTGCTGTGCCAGCCGCAGGCCGGGCCGGCGCACAGGAGCGGCGACTACCACTGGCTCGCCAGCGATGCCATCCGCCCCGACCTCACCTTCTACGTGAGCTGCTTCGATGAGGCGGACCGCCGCGTTTGACGCCCAGTCCCACCCCGCCACGCCCCGCCGCACCCCGCCACGCCCCGCCACGCTCGCCGGGCCGGGCGTACGCCGGCTCGTCCCTGGGCCGCGTCCAAGTCGTACACGGGCTCAACGAGCGTCGCGTAGCGTCGCGGCGCCGTGATCTGAGCCAAGGGCAGCGCCACGATATGAGGGAGGGGGAGAGGCGAGGGGGCTGCGGCGCCGTTGGGGCTGCGAGGGCCGCGAGGACCAGAAAGCGTTCTTGTAGTAATGTAATCGCAAGTTTCACAAATTTGTTCGTTTTGTTGTAGTGCACGAGTGCACGTGCACAATGTCCCCCCCTGTACAAATAATGACGTGACATGTTGTTTGTTCTTAACGACCCATTTTAACCCACTTTGCCCTTCAGGTGTAGTTAACACGTGGAATTCGCCTGGACGTCATTGGAAGGTAATGGATTCCGCCTGGCATTCCGCGGCCGCGCTGCGCCTGTTACACTCATGGTAATGGCGGGGAGTGCGCAGGTCAAGCAGCCTCGCCGCCGCCTTCCTTTGTGGCCCGCGGGAGGGACTTTGATCCCCCGCCCCGTCCCGCCCCGTCCCGTCCCGTCCCGTGGTGGTGCGATGTCGCGACCGTCGACCCGTCGTTGTTGCCTTTTCCCCCATAATTTCCCTTTTTCGCCTCTACTACTGTGCTACACGGGGAGGCAGGAGGCAGGGCACGCCACAGGGCACCAGGCGGAAAATTTCAAGGCTGCACCATCATATCGAAAAAAAAAAATCGCAAACGAGAATCATAATCAACCATGTGTCTGATGAATATCAAATGATCATTTGAGATTATCTTGGAGCTTTCCGTTGAGTATCTTTTCTCGAAATTCAGCCGAGCGAGTTCGTGGCTATTTTGGATTTTTATGTGAACATCTAGGGGGTTAAAGTGGTAGCACTGAGGAGGAGGCGTGGCGTTGCGTAGCGCCGTCCCTAAGCAAAACAGAACGCCGGCGACTATACTGTGTTTTTGTCGCAAGTGGATGTGTGATCATAAATCCAGTTTTTGTAGAATTTGTAAAGAACAATTGGGTCCATCTTAGACCGGCGTAGCAATCTTGTGTCAAAAAGTGCTTCTGAAAAGTCTGGCTTCGGAAAAGTAAGTTTTTACATCTTCTAAACCGTTCCGGTGTCATTTTTTAGGTTAGTGTACGGACATATTGCATTGGTACTTATGTAACGCAATGATAATGGCTCAACTGTCGTAATAAACTTTGGCATAGGTGGTACCAAGGTGCTAGATGCATAGGCCCGATCTAAACTGTTTGAAATCTAACGACACGCATCCTAACCTCTGCTACACTGTCGCACATCTGATTTGTTTAGGGACGGCGCTACGCCACGCCACCACCTCAGTGCTCCCTCCTCCTCGTTCCTCCTATCAGGCAACTTCCTCATACTGTATATACCGCACCGGCACGCGTTCAATGATACTGTACATGGAGCCTCGCCTCGAGCCATGCAGTTGGCAGCCTCCCTACGCCCTCTTTGTGCGGAGTGGTGCGGAGCTCGGTGCTCCCCGTCGCCGGCTGGGCTACCGTGTAAACAGACGCGTACGACTCGTACTCGCGCCCGGCGCCGCCGCTCCCGTCGAACCCATTTCGACTCGTGTTTTTCACTCCATTCCGCCGGCCAACGCTCGCGAGCGCAAAGCATCCCGGGCCGTCATGTTGGCGATGCCAGGAATTCCCTTCTTATCCCCGGCGACGCGCGTGTAGTGTATCGAGGGGTGCATCAACCTGGCGGACGTCATCGCCAAGCAGCCGCCGCGGCAGCCGTCGCGGGCCCCCGGCCGGCCGGGCTCCGTCTGTCAAGCCGCGCACCTTGCAGCTTTTCCGCTCCGCTCGACTCGTGATGGCATTGTTTGTAAACAAGTCATTTCAATTGGAAAAAAAAAAGAGGCGCAGGTGCGGCTGAGCCCGGAGAGCGGCCGGGCGTCCCAATTTTCTCACACTTTATTACCACACCATTCACATTCATACGGGGGTGCCTCATTACCGCTTTATCTTTCTCTTCTCTTTATTCTTCTATTTTTTGCCCCATACGGCGCCCGTGTACGTGCGAGTGATATGCCCACAGGGGCCGGTGCCCCCTGACCTATCTCCCCATTTTTCTCGCACTTCCGCGAACTCGATGCAAGAGCGCACGTATCTCGCCCACTTGCTACATGCAGGCTCCCCCGAGCCTCACGCCTGTCATTGCCCTGCTCCGTCACTTTTTGCCCAGCGGGGGAAGACGACACGACATTCCCTCTTGCCTACCCCATTTTCCATTCGCATTGCAGACGGGAAGCGCATCGCACACACGCACACATTTAACAAAACACACGCGCTTGATCGTCAACACGATTAAGACTCGACACTAAGACAGCAGCCCGCCAGTTAGTGCCCTCTGGCGACCCCGCGATGCCCACTGGGACCCTGGGAGACATGCAGACACAAGACGTTGTTTGTTTGTTGCCAGGCGGATCCGCCACCCATCCCATTGTGTGGCTGACTCGGTCGGACTCGGTACCCATGTGTTCACCGCCGATTAGGCGGGCTGGGCTGGGACACTAACGAACCAGGTTGGGTTGGACACCGTTCGGAAAGGTACCCGCGCCAGCGCGCTCGCTGTCTGTCTGACGGTCCGTCTGTCGTCTGTCTACCAAACACACACACGCGCACAACACACCGTCCCCACAGAGTACATAAACACCTACTGAATGAAGTAGTATTCGCCAGTGAATCACACTACCCGGCAGTAGATTTACGATCTTTAAAGAATGGTCCGGACACACTTGAGTAAAGTCTGAGGAGTGTTGTTCTTTGCACTTGCACTCTGCGCCAGCTGTGCCCGCTACCGACTTGTTTCCCAGAATAACGACATGGCGAGGTCGCGCTGTCTTTATTCGTTCGATAACAGTTCTGACCGGGGAGTTACGCGGGGTGAATAGGTCACAGGTCACTCCAATGCTCATGTGCCTTCCGCCCGCCGCTAGTACGGTGCGGGTGCGGGTACTTGCAGCCTCTCACGGACTTTGTGCAACTCTTTCAAAGTTCGGGGAGGAAACGAAGCAGGGCCGAAACGTTTGATAAAACCGTCTTCAAACCGTCGTAGGTTTGCGTTTTATGGCGCATTTGTCACCGGACATTGGACAAGTCAAGCGAAGTCATGTCAACACAGGATCATCAACCTGGCGAAAGCGCTGTGTAGCCGCAGCTCATCGGGGCCGGCAATGAGGAGACGGTACGGGTCCGCGCAGCGGCTCGGTGCCAGGACCGAGGGGGAGAGGCACCGGCAGCACCGCCACGTCATGGCCATCCCGGGCGTGCGCGGCGTGCGCTGCTGAGTATCCCGATGTCCCGCTCCGCCCGGCAGCGCCACGCCCCCCCAGCCGACCGGGTGGCGTGATGCCTCAATTGCCCCCCTCGCGCCCCCGCCCCGTCCACGGCCCCTCTTCCCTCAGTCCTCCTTTTCTCCCAACACTCTAATGTGTCCTTCCGGTGAGGGGCGGGGGAGTGAGTTCGAAGAAGAAGCAGAGTCGTTGGTTCGCCTCCCAGTAGCAGCACCCCAAGTCCAGCGGTCTAGCTGGGCGACCGCCTGCTGGTCCAATCGCAGTGACTGTATGGTCCATCGTCGGAAGCCTCGGCGAGCCACCCGCGCGCCCGCCCCGACTTGCACCCGGGAAGGTCACGTGGTCTGGTGACCCGATTTTTTCCCGTCCCTCCGCCCTTGCCCGTGTGCGCGCGTCTCCCTGCCTGCGACCCTCGCAAAGGAGGCCGGCTTCCACACGCGTCGCCTGAACATCTATCACACTATTGATAATAATAAAGTGAGCTATTTATAAGTCTCGCGACTGCCGGTGCGGGCGGCGCGGGCCGCGCGGGTTGATGACTCTGGCTGCGGGTCCACGACGCTGCTGGCGTGGCGGGGCGTGGCGGGGCGGGTCTCGTTGGCCGGTAGCCATTACTCTGACGACTCACCTACTCCGCGTCTTCAGAACCAGACCGATCACTATTGCTAACAGCCCGATCACCTCCACCCCTGCTCCGCGCTGACTTCTTGTGAGGGTGTTGACGGTTGTGCTTGCCGCCCAGGTTGTGACGAGGCTGAAGACAGCTCTAGTCTCCTGGTCACCGTGAGAAAAATCGAATACAGCAAAATCGAAAGGCGACAGGTGTACTCAATTAAGACTTATGCTGGTTCGGGTCTTTGAGGTACTCCGTCCGAGGAGGTTAGTCCATGTGTCCAAATTAGGTTAGTTTTCAATTTGACCCAAAATACGCCTATACGAATGTATGCAGCAAGAGAGTACATTGTGAAAAATAAAGTGACAGCACTTGCCACGATCACTTTCCATGTCAGTTAAAGAGCAGGTGCGGAAAGGAAGGCTAGGATTTTAGGAAACGAGAGGGGGGGGGGGGAGGAGGGTTGGGGGGGGCGTGACGCCGCGCTGGCTGCGGCGACGCCACTACCGCAACCGCGGCGACGACGTCATCCCCACCGACCCCAAAAATAAAAAGCTTTTCGAGGTAAAATTGCGCGGCGGTCATGTTTTGCACAATGTGGCGCGGCGTAGTGGTGAGAGTAAAACGGTACGCCTGACCGGTCGCCTTCTCTTCTCTTCTCTTCTCTTCTCTTCTCTTCTCTTCTCTTCTCTTCTCTTCTCTTCTCTTCTCTTCTCTTCTCTTCTCTCTCCCGCATCCTCTCACTCTCTCTCGCTCCTATCCATGACCTTCCTCTCTTTCGCCGGACTCTATATAAGTGAATCAGACGGAATCAGTCCGCGAGCAGTATGGTCAGCTCACACCACCCCGCACTGTTAAGAAGGCGGCCAATCGCGTCGCGACGTTGGCGCGCGACGGGGCGTGGCACGCCGTATGGCGAGTGAGTGGCGAGCCGTCGCGTGGCTCGGGGTGCCGTGGCGCAGCCGGGACCCAAATAAAGTCGCTGAATCTGTTCCATGGAGCGCTCGACAGCCACTAACCCCGGCAGCTGCTGGCCCCGTACCCACAGGGGTCAAGCCACGCGCCGCGGCGATCCAAAAACAGTCGATGCAGACGAGCTCTGTCGCAAACGGCTTATTTGGTAGCGACACATTGTGCGTTATTATTGCCCGATCCGCTTAGCAACAAAACGCTGCCGCGGGGATCGGTATTGGTGTAACATGTTATGGTGTTTGTGGTAATCGCACTGGTGACGTCTCCCAGGCCACGGGGGGCCCCCCTGGCGCGGGTCACGGGCGGGATCACCGAAGTGAAATCTCTGTTTGCCGGAAGACGCGCGGGCTCGTTGTGTTGCGATTGGCTTGAGTGGGACAATAGAAACCGCGGAAACCAGCGGAA